GAGCGGGAGGGGCAGGGGGAGGGGGAGGAGGGGGGGGGCAAGCTAGGTGCGTTCGCGTCATATCGGACGTTCTACCCCTCCCTCCCATCCCTTACCATGGCGTAGAACTCCTCTCTATTCGCACAGTCGGATGTCTTAGCAGGGCATAGCATTACATGGCATAGCATGGTCCCAAAGTGGGGATGCTTCTGCGGCCCCAAAACACAACGAATCGACACCGACTGTGTAAGCACTTCGATAGTTGTTTCGGGAGGGCATTTCCTAGATTTTGGGTCCTATTTGGAAGGACCGAAAACCATGCCGTGGCATGGCGCTGGAAATAATAACGCCAGCGCTGCAGCGGGAGCACGATTCGGAACGAGCGGTAGCCCGAAAGCGGGGCCAGCGCTTCAGCGAGAGCAGCATTTTGAACACAAGCCCAAGCGAAAACCCACTTCCCGGCAATTCTGTGTGTGAAAAACTAGTACGCGGAGGGGGGCCGAACATTCCCTGGACGTCACCAGGGGAGAGAGGAGAGTAGTATTCATATTGTGTTATTGTGGAGGGGGGAGGGGGGAGGGGCAAGCTAGGTGCGCTCGCGTTATATCTGGCGTCCAACCCCTATCTCCCATCCCTTACCATGGCGTAGATCTCCTATCTACTCGCACAGTGGGATGATGAGCAGGGTAATGATTCCAAGAGAGTACGCGATGGATGGAAACGCATGGCGTAGAAGAGCATGGCAAAGCATGGCATGTCATAGCCTGGCGTGGCATTGCGTAGTGAAGCATGGCATCACAAAGCATACCAACGCAAAGCATGGCATCGCACAGCGGTGCACAACACAGCATCGCATTGTATGCTGTGGCATGGCACCAGATGACTTGGAGGGTAAAGGGCCCGTCTACGAGAAGACATGGCCCGTCGGGAATGCCGACTCCATGTCATCCGCAACCGTGCTTGCCCGATGTGGGCGCTTTCGAATGCCAAGTGTCGTCCTGGGCGCGGGAACGAGGCCAGCGCTGCAGCGGGAGTACGATTTTGAATGACTGCAGAGCGGAAATGAGGGCGATGCCGCAGCGGGAACATCATTGTGGAACAACCAGAAACGATAATATTTCAAAAAACGCACATAGGAAAACAAGTAATGACAATCTGTGCGTAAGAAACAATGCGCGGATAGGACGGGGCACTCTCCAGACAGAGTCAGGGGACAGGAGAGTGGTATCCATATTGTGTAATCGTGGAGGGTGGATGGGGGGGGCGGGGGGGGGGAGGGGAGGGGGGAGGGGGGAGGGGGGAGGAGCAAGCTAGGTGCGCTCACGTCATGTCTGACGTCCTACCCCTCCCTCCCATCCCTTACCATGGCGTATATCTCCTCTTTATTCGCACAGTCGGATGTCGAGCAAGGCAGAGATCCTGAGTGCGCGATGCATCGTAGAGCACGGCAAAGCAGGGCGTAGAAGAGCACGGCAGAGCCTAGTACATCATAGCATGGCGTGGCGTTGCGTAGTGAAGAATTACGTTGCGGCGTAGCGGTACAGAACGTACAGAACAGAACATGGCATAGCATAGAGTTGAAGATCAAAGCGTAGTATGGCGTAGCATGGCGTTGCACTACATAGTCAAGCACTGCATATCCTAGCATCGCAGCTGAAGGTCTGGCATCGCACAGCGGAACACCACCTAGCATTGCATTGCATGCCGTGGCATGGCGCTGGAAATAATGACGCAAGCGCTGCAGCGGGAGCACGATTCGAAACGAGCGTAAGCGCGGAAACGAGGCCAGCGCTGCAGCGGGAGCATGATTCGAAGCGAGCGGAAGCGCGGAAATGAAGCCAGCGCTGCAGCGGGAGCACGATTCGGAACGAGCGGAAGCCCGAACATGAGGCCAGCGCTTCAGCGGGAGCAACATGCTGACAAAAAACACCTAAGCGAAAACCCAGCTCCTGGGAATCCTATGTTTTAAACATTCCAGGAGGGGGGCCGAACATCTTCTGGACGTCTTCGGGGCAGAGAGGAGAGTAGTATCCACATTATATAATGTGGAGGAGGAGGAGGAGGAGGAGGAGGAGGAGGAGGAGGAGGAGGAGTGGAGGAGGAGGAGGAGGAGGAGGAGGAGGAGGAGGAGGAGGAGGAGGAGGAGGAGGAGGAGGAGGGAGGGGAGGAGGAGGGAGGAGGAGGAGGAGGGAGGAGGAGGTGGAGAGGAGGGAGGGAGGAGGGGAGGGAGGAGGGAGGGAGGGATGGAGGAGGAGGACGAGGAGGAGTAGGAGGAGGACGAGGAAGGAGGAGGAGGAGGAGGAGGAGGAGGGAGGAGGAGGAGGAGGAGGAGGAGGAGGAGGAGGAGGAGGAGGAGGGGAGGAGGAGGAGGAGGAGGAGGAGGAGGAGGAGGAGGAGAGGAGGAGGAGGAGGCGGAGGAGAGGAGGAGGAGGAGGAGGAGGAGGAGGAGGAGGAGGAGGAGGAGGAGGAGGGAGGAGGAGGAGGAGGAGGAGGGAGGAGGAGGAGGAGGAGGAGGAGGAGGAGGGAGGAGGAGGAGGAGGAGGAGGAGAAGGAGGAGGAGAAGGAGGCGGAAGAGGAGGAGGAGGAGGAGGGGAGAGGAGGAGGAGGAGGAGGAGGAAGAGGAGGGGAGGAGGGGGAGGAGGAGGAGGAGGAGGAGGAGGAGGAGGAGGAGGCGAGGAGGAGGAGGAGGAGGACCAGAGTTAACCCTGGATGCGTCAACCATTATGTGATACACCCTCCTGTCCTTTCCTTTCCTTCTACGGGAAACGCTCCCGTTGAATGACGAGCGGGATTCCTGAAGGAACAAAGCCTTCCGACGTCTTCCTCCTCACCCCCTTTGTGTCCTCCTCCTCCCCCTCCCCCTCCTCCACCGCTTCCTCTCTCTCCCCCTCCCCTCCTCTTCCTGGGTAGCAGCGCTGTCAAGGATTTCGGGAGGAGGCGCGCTGGTAGGGGAGCGGCCGCTCGCGTCAGCAGGCCTCCTTAGTGTAAGAATGTGTGCAATCTTACAGTCGAGGGTGGGGCAGGGTTCCGACCCTCTCTTGTGGAACTGTCCCGAGTTATCCTCCTCCTCCTCCTTCTCCTCCCTCTCCTCCTCCCCCTCCTCCCCCCCTCCCTCCTCGCTCCTCACCTCTCCCCCTCCTCCCCCTCCTCCCCCTCCTGCTCCCGGGCATCCCCCGTCCTTCCCCTTCTTTATTCCCCTCCCTCCCCCCCCTCCTCGCTCCCCCCCCCCTCCCGCCGCGCCCCCTCGCGCAGGTCCGGCGCGGGGGCCCGACCGAAGCGCGCCCCCGCGGACAAGGCGGCCCTCCGACTCCTGCTGCGGATGGCGAGGTCGGCTGGCGGACCACGGGCCCTGGCGGGCGTTGAAGAGCTACGTTAGGTTCGTGTCGTGTCGACCAGCGGCGACCCCGACGCTGGCGTTCAATGTTGAACGCCGGCGGCGGCCCAGAATCGGTCGATGTTGAACGATCGGACGTTGCGGAAAGGGCCGACCGTTCAAGGTTGAACGATCCCCGCGGCGTCAGGAACCAACGCACAGGTCGACACGGCACGAACCTTCCGTAAACGTCGGCAGGCAGGGGCAACGAAAGGGGGGGATACGGTAGGCTCATGCGGCGTTGGCGCGCCGGCGACGCCAGCGAAGGCGTTCAAGGTTGACTTCTGCGACGCGGAAGCACCGATGGGGCACGGTAACGCCGCTGGACCCGACGGCACTCAAACTTGAACGATCGGGGCCGCGATCGATTCGAGGTTGAAGGATCGACGCCGTGTCACAAACCTTTGCCCGCGCCGACGCGCACGTAGGCTCAGGGGGGGACGCACCGACCCCCGATCGCCCAATGATCGTCGATAAGGGCCCGATAGCCAACCCCGCCCAGGAAAGCGCGGTTTCGCTATCGTGGGCCTATCGCCGATCCATTGGCGATGTATCGCCGATTCCAGGTCGATGTTTCCCCACCTCCCCCCATGTGCCAGTCCTTATCGTTGCCCCTCAGTCAACAAACTCCACCTCCTCTGGTTGCGAAAAATCGCCACGGGAGGTCTTGGGCGATTTTCAGCCTCCGGGGGCCATCGCCGGGCCCTGATACTGTCAATAACGACACGAGAGGAACGTAATGTGGCCCCAGGGAAGGGGTCTAGACTTCAGAGGGGTCTCCGATGCGAGAAAATCACGACGTCGGATCTCTGGGAACGGCGACTTTGGCGACGACGACGACGACGAGGACGACGACAACGACGACGACGACGACGGCGGCGGCGGCGACGGCGGCGGCGTGCTGCGGCGATCGCCGGCGGCATGCGGCGGCGACGGCGACGGCCTCCTCGTCCGCTCCTGCGGCGGCGCAGAGCTTGCTGCTGAGATGGGTGGCGGCGTTGAACTGCGAGACGACCAAAGTCTCCATCTCCTCCTCCTCCTCCTCCTCCTCCTCCTCCTCTTCCTCACTGAGCCCCACTTGACTTTGAACACGGACGCGCCTCATCACAGAATCGGCTGAGCGTCTTGTGCATTCCAGATGGTCTGGGTTTTTGCACTCGTGAGTTTCCAGGTGCCCCCCGTGGCTTTGCACACTGTCCTCTCGAAAGGGCGCAGCGGGCGTGCCAGCTGACTTGCTCCTCCGTTCTCTTCCTCCTTCTCCTCCTCTTGGGGAGCTCGCTCCGCTGCCGCCCTCCGGGCGAGGTCGTGCGCTGTCTAGCGTGTCCTGCCCCACTCGCCCATGACCTCTATTCTGCAGGCAGGATGGGTCCAGGCTGGTCCAGGCGAGAAGATATGGGCTGTCGGAGACGTGCTCTCAACACGGTGTTGCCGCGACGGCGAGAGGAGTGCAGAGATGGTCGCGCTCGAATGTCTCTGTGCGCGCGGATCATTTCTCCGCGCTCGGTGCCATCGGTTCCTGAGGCAAAGCCGCTGGCGGTGGTGGTGTTGCCGCCACCTCCGTACCCAATCAAAAACTGCGACATCTCGGGCGGTCGCTGGAAGGACAGAACACGACGTGTTAGCCCATCCGCTATCGTTTGTGGTTTGGCGGGGGAACCCCAGTTGTATACCAGGGAGGTCCGACCTCATTTTACCAGGAGGGCCTCCAGGAATATTCTTTGGGCACCAGCTCCGGAGCCCAGCGCGCCTGGAGCGCAGTTTTTCGTCAACACGTTACGTCGTATCCCTGGGAAGAGTAAGCCAGGCAGGATTCGGCAGACCTCCACATCCAAGGAAGGCGAGGGACGGGGACTGACACATCCAGATGAGGAGGAGGAGGAAGGTGAGGAAGGGGAGGCGGGAGGCCGCGTGAGCCCAAGTCCAGGGGGGACTGGGGGGCTCGAGCCATAAGGGCCTTGGCAGCGGGTAGACTGCCGCCAGGTTATTCAGCCAGCCCAGATGATTCTCCTTGAATCGAGGTTTTCGTTCGCCGATCCTGAACCTCGGGAGTCATCGATGCATTCCTGAAGAAGAAGAGGAGGGGGAGGAGGGGTGAGGAGGAGGAGGAGGAGGAGGAGGAGGAGGAGGAGGAGGAGGAGGAGGACGAGGGGTGAGGGGGGGAGATGGAGGGTGAGGGGGAGGGGGGTGGCAGATGGGCGGACTGGCCAGCAAATAAGAAGGGCCATGGAGAATCATTCGATCCTTCAGATGTTGGTAGGGTTATGTTTGCGAAGAAGCGTTTTGAATCTTTCGCCCTGCCCTCTGTCAAAGTCCCCGCATTCTGGCCAAACGCCAGGGAGCTGTTTGGTGCTTTAGGATCCCCAGGGCCCCGCATTCAGAAGCAGATGAGTTTCCACGGCAGGTTTTTCCGTGGGCTGAAGGCCCGCGGCAAGCGTGTTGTCCTCACGGTCACGATGAGTGGCCTCCTTCAGAGCGAATCGTTTCGGACGCACACGCACGCAACTCACAACACACACGCACGCACGAACGCACGCACAGACACCGACACAGGCACGCACACAGAACGCACACACTCACGCACGCACACGCACACCCACGCGCACGCGCACACACGACACACAACATACACACACGCACGCATACACACACAGTGTCACACACACACGCACGCACGCACGCACGCACGCACGCACGCAGGAACAGACACAACCAGACACAAACATATATACAAACACACACACACAACACAAACACACCCAAACACACAAACACACACACACACACGCACGCACACAACACACACATACACAAACACAAATACAAGCACACAACCACAGACAGACACACAAGCACATGCACACACAACAACACACAAACATACAAACACACAACACACAAACACACAAGCCCACACACAAACACACACATACACAAAAACATAGGCACACACGCGCCCACACACAGGCACACAAACACGCACACGCACGCACAAGCACACACAAACACGCACCTACACACAACCACACACAACCACACAACCACACACAACCACACACAACCATACACAGGCGCACAAGCACACAAATGCACACAACCACACACGCACACACAAACACACACAATCACACACAATCACACAATAACATACCAACCCACGCAACAACGCACAGCCCTACACATAACCGCACGTACCCACACAACCACACACAAACACACAAGCACACGCACACAACCACTCAAACACACAAACACACACACATACACAACCACACAAACCACAATCACACAACCACACACCCACACAAACACACAAACACACCCACACACCCACACACCCACACACAAGCACACAAACACGCAAAGAAACAAACAGCCAAACACACACACACACACACTCAAACACACGCAAACACACACGCACGCGGACGGACACGCACGCGCACACGCACGCGCACACGCACGCGTACAGGCACACGCACGCGCACACGGACACGCACACGCACAGGCACATGCACACGCACTTGCAGACGCAGACGCACGCGCACACGCACACACAAACACACGCGCACGCACGCACACTGTTTTCCGTCGGCGGCGAGGCAGAGTTGGCTGCACCAGCGAAGGAGCTAGACGGGGACACCGAAAAGTGAATTGGCCAGCGTTCAAGAGAGGGAGTTGGGTCGAGGCGGGCGGGCACGCACGCGCACACAGAACACACGGACCACACATACACGCACGCACGCACACACAGGCACAGGCACAGACACACCGACACACACACACGAGACACACACACACACACGCACGCACGCACGCGCGTACACACACATACACGCACGCACACACAACACAAACGACGCAAACGCGCGCACACACATCACACACACACACACGCACGGACGCACACACACACACACACACGCGCACGCACGCACACACACGCAATCGCACACACTCACACACTCCGCACACAACACACGCACACACGCACACACACGCACGCACACACAGACACATCACAACACACAAACGTTCCCACGCACGCACACACACGCGAACGCACGCACGCACACACAACACTCAACACACACACGCACGCACGGAACCACATAAAAGACACCCGCCCACACACACACACACACACGCACGCACACCACACACGCGCGCGCACGCACGCACACACACACACACGCACGCACACAAAACACACGCACGACACGCACACACATTTGCACACACGCGCGCACACACACAGGCACAGACACAGACACATACACACACACACTACACACGCACGCACATACACACATACACATACACGCACGCATGCACACACACAACACACACGCGGACGCACGCACACACCCAACACACACGCGCACACAGCACACAGTCACCCACGCACACACGCGCATGCACACCCACACACGCGAACACACACACACACGCACGCGTACACCCAATGCACACAACACACCATACATCACACAACTCACACACAGCGCACACCACACGCACCACAATGCACACCACACAGCGCACAGCACGCACAACACTCGCACGCACGCGCGCACAACACACAACTGTCATCACACACAACACTCAAGCGCACCTATACACACACACGCGCACAAACACACACAACACACACCATACAGAACCCACAGTACATAACACAATTCGTACAGCCCACTACACACACCGCACGAACACACGACACACACCACACACAACACACAACACACAATACACAACACACAACACACAGACACAGCACACCCACACACACACTCACACACGCACACACACATACATTTTTTGCGTCGCGGCCCCGCGCGCAGCGACAGGGCGTAGACGAGCACCCACACCTACACACGCACCTACACACGCACGCACGCACACACACGCTCACGCACACACTTGCACACACACGCACACAATAACACGCAGCATACACACACGCGCACACGTACACACGCACATCCAAACACACATGCACATACACATACACATGCACATACACCTACACCTAAAACACATACACGTGCGCATACACATACACATTCACCTACACCTAATACACACATGCATACACATCCTACACCCACACACCTGCAGCTACACCTACACTTGCACTTGCACCCATACCCACACACCTACACACACCTACACACACCTACACCTACACCTACACCTACAAATACACATACAATTACGCATGCACACATACGCATATACATGCTTACATGCACTTACATACATGTACACAGAACCCATTGGCCTCCAACCTCGTGCTCCAACGTCAATCGACGCCGCCGCCGCGCCTCCCACGCCGCAGGCGCGCGCGGTCGACGCCCGCGGCAGGGGCCCCGCCGCGCGGACCGCGGAGGCCGCGCCCCGCAACGGCATGCTCTGCGGGGAGGTCGTCGTCGTCGTCGTCGTCGTGGTGGTGGTCGTCGTCGTCGTCGTCGTCGTTGTCGTGGTCGTCGTCATTGTCGTCGTCGTCGTCGTCGTGGTCGTCGTCGTCGTCGTCGTCGTGGTCGTCGTCGTCGTCGTCGTCGTTGTCGTCGTCGTCGTCGTGATCGTGGTCGTGATCGTCGTCGTCGTCGTCGTGGTTGTCGTCGTCGTCGTCGTGGTCGTGGTCGCCGCTGCTGTTAACTTCGGCTTTCGGGAGGAGGGGTGGAGGGGGCTGGGAGGAATAGTGGTGATGGTGGTGGTGATGATGAAGAGGATGAGGATGATGATAGGGACGAGGTTGAGCGTGGTGATGAGGATGAGGATGATAATGAATAAGGACGAGGAGGTCATGATGATGAGGACGATGATGAGGGTGAGGATGAGGGTGAGGACGAGGAAACAGTTGTTTCCTCCCTTCTCCGAAGGCCAAAACAGCAGATTCCAAGAGCATTGCTGGACATCTTCTGGCAACTTTGGTGTGTACGAAGGAGTCCCAGAATACAGCCAGACACAGTGTATGTTGCATTCAAGAGGTACGCGTGGTGTTTTCTCTACGGCGGAAACAGGGATGTCGTTCGTGACAGCGTCGGCCTGCCCCGTGTGGTTGGTTGTGGCAGGTCCTGAAGAGGATGGCCAACCACACGCCGAAACGCTGAGGGCGAACTGGACCAGGGGTGCCCGAATAGTTGGGCATACTCAGTCCGAGACCAAAGGAGGACCCCAAGGCAACCGCCTCTGCATCCACCAGCCAAGCCGGGTGGCATCCACCGGCCAAGCCGGCTGGGTGCGGAGGCGTGTGTACAGATAATGCTTTGTACGTTGCATTCGTTGTGATATGACAGGCGAATTACGGGTTATCAGCCGAACTCTCCAGGAGCTCGTCTTCGGCGGCGCAGCCTTTTTCCCCATCAGTCAGAGAGATTCCGGCATGCCTGCGCGTGTTGCAGAGAGATTCTGGCATGCCTGCTGTGAAGTCGGCTCCGCCGTCCTGTGCTCCAGTCAGTGCTCTGGTCACGGGGGCGGGGGGTCAGACATTCAAGGAAAAAGGGGGCACCTGCGGCCAGTCCGCCAGGTGCCGATGGTGTCACGAAAGAGGAGGCAGTTGTTTCCTCCCTTCTCTGAAGGCCAAAACAGCAGGTTCCAAGAGCTTTGCTGGACATCTTTTGGCAATTTTGGTGTGTGCGGAGGAGTCCAAAAATACAACCAGACACAGTGTATGTTGCATTCAAGAGGTACGCGTGGTGTTTTCTCTACGGCGGAAACAGGGATGTCGTTCGTGACAGCGTCGGCCTGCCCCGTGTGGTTGGTTGTGGCAGGTCCTGAAGAGGATGGCCAACCACACGCCGAAACGCTGAGGGCGAACTGGACCAGAGGTGCCCGAATAGATGGGCATACTCACTCCGAGACCAAAGGAGGACCCAAGGCAACCGCCTCTGCATCCACTGGCCAAGCCGGGTGGCATACACCGGCCGAGCCGGCTGCGTGCGGAGGCGTGTGTACAGATAATGTTTCGTACGTTGCATCTGTTGTGATATGACAGGCAAATTACGGAAACGGATGTTGATGATGATGATGGTGATGATGATGAGGGGAAGGAGAGGGCTCAGGATTAGGAAGAGTACGATCGTGGTGATGATGATGACGATCAGGATGTTGCTGCTGCTTCTGCTGCTGCTGATGATGATGCTGGTGATCATGATGGTGACGGGGACGATGATGCTGACGATGGTGAGGGTGATGATGATGATGCTGCTGACGAGAATGATGATGCTGCTGATGATGAGGAGGATGATGATGGTGGTGGTGAATATGATGATGCTGATTATGATGATGATGCTGATGATGCGGATGCTGATGATGCTGATGATGCTGATGGTGATGCTTATGCTGATGACGATGATGATGATGGTGTTGATGATGATGATGCGGATGATGATGATGTTGATGATTCTGATGACCATGATATGATCTACCATGCTTGCAATGATGGTGGTGGAGGTGGTGGTTGTGGTGGTGGTGGGGTGGTGGTATTGGGGATGATGATGAAGAAGATGATGGTTATGATGGCCGTAATGATGATGACGATGATGATGATTATGATTATGACGACGACGATGATGAAGATGATGATGATGATGGTGATGATGATGATGCTGATGATGATGCTGATGCTGATGCTGCTGCTGATGATGATGATAATGCTGCTGCTGATGATGATGATGATGCTGATGTTGATGGTGGTGATGATGATGATGATGATGATGATGGTGATGATGATGGTGATGATGGTGATGATGATGATGATGCTGATGATGATGATGATGGTGGTGGTGGTGGTGGTGATGATGATGATGATGATGATGATGATGATGATGATGAGGAGGAGGAGGAGGAGGAAGAGGAGGAGGAGGAGGAGGAGGAGGAGGAGGAGGAGGAGGAGGAGGAGGAGGTGTGGGAGGAGGGCGGGAAAAGGGCTGATGAATCGGCAGGACCAGCAGGAGGAGAAAGGAGGGACGAAGGGCAGGAGGAGGGCGACAGTGGAGCAGCAGCGGCACGAGCAGGAGCAGGAGCAGGGAGGAGGAGGAGGAGGAGGAGGAGGAGGAGGAGGAGGAGGAGGAGGAGGAGGAGGAGGAGGAGGAGGAGGAGGAGGAGGAGGAGGAGGAGGAGGAGGAGGAGGAGGAGGAGGAGGAGGAGGAGGAGGAGGAGGAGGAGGAACCGCATGTTCCAGGCGGGCGGGTGGCGGACTGCGCCAGTGCTTGGTGGAATTGGCCGTTCCGCCTTGCTGCCAGAGCGCTCCTCGGCCAGCTGCCTGCGTTCCGCAAGCCCGCAGTGCGCTCCCTCTTGGGCTGTCTTGGTGCGGTCCAGAGCCGTCTTGGGGCCCCCTTGGCGGCCCCTTGGGCCATCCCGGGCCGCCTTGGGCCGCGGCACGCCGGAGCCGTCTTTTTGGACCTCTCCTGGGCCACCGGCGCGAGGCCGCCGCGCAGGGCGGGCGGGCGGAGGTGCCGAGCGGAAGGGCGGGGGGCCGAGGCCGAGGAGGAGCGCGGGGAGCCACCGCGGCGGCCCCCCTCGGCGGCTCAAACCGCCCTCAGATGGTGCTGCTCGGGCGAGCGCGCGCTCTCGGGGGGCACCGCGGGGGGGGACGGCGACGGCGACGGCGACGACGACTGCGCCGACGACAGAGGCGGCGGCGACGGCGGCGGCGGCAGTGCCGACGGCGGAGGCGGCGGCGACGGCGACGGCGACCGACGCCGACGATTGCGCCGACGATGGAGGCGGCGGCGACGGCGGCGGCGGTGGCGACGGCGGAGGCGGCGGCGGCGACCGCGACGACGACGACGACGACGACGAATTGTGACGACGTCGGGGGCGGCGATGCTTGGGACGACAACGACGCGTGTGTGTGTGTGTGTGTGTGTGTGTGTGTGTGTGTGGACCTGGGTCTGAGGGGGGAAGGCTCGCCCCCGAACCGTCCATGCATCGCCAATCGGTGCCTGGGAACAAGCGCTTTTTCGCTGCTGGGAGCCTATCGCTGATCTATCGGCGAGGTGTTGTCGATTCCAGGTCGATGCTTCATCCTGAGCCAGTCCCTCTCCTCCTCTGTTGTTTACGGCTTCCCCTCACAGGACCACGGCGGCCGCGGTGGCGATGTTTTTGTCGTGGGCGGGAAGCATGTCCATTTCCCCGGTCTCGCGGGCCGGGCCGTTGGGCCGCGACCCGATGCACACGGGGCGTTCTTCCGCGGATGCCCCACGCGGAACGTGTCCATGCGACCGCGCATCCACGGGATCCCCCCCGCCATCCAGACCGTGAGGGCGTGGATATGGATCTGTTTGCCGCTCGTGACTTCGACTATGCTCGTCGGTCGACGGCGTTCGGCGCTCGAAGACGACAGGCGTTCGAGACCGGGCGCCCTGCTTTGTCGGCGAGCTCTCGCCCTTCGTCGGTTGGCGTGGGGAGATCTTGGCGTTGCGCTTCTTCGCCCGGGACGGTGGCGGCGAGGAGAGCGGATGAGGAAAGAGGGGGGAGGGAGGAGAAGCAGTAGGGAAGAGGATGAGGGGGATGAGGGAGTCGAGGAGACGAGCACATTGATTCAGGCAACGTGGATTAGGGACGGGTCCAGTTTCCATATCGAAATGACGTTTGGGGGCGAGTGAAAACCCACTGGCAAAGAGCTGTGGTGACTGTGATGGCGATCGGATGGCCACACTGCACGGTGATGCTCATGGTGAGAATGAATAATGGTGATTGTATTAAAGTCGGAACAGCCACGATGGAGCTGACAGCACATAAATGTGACCTCGCAGTCGACTCCAATCGACTGATCTCACTACCAGTTTTACTATCGATCTCATTATCGATTTCAGCATCGATATCACAATCGATCCCACTATGATCGGACTATCGGTCTCACAATACGTCTCACTCTCGATCGCGCTATCGATCTCTCTCTCTCTCGATGGATCTCACTATAGATCTCGCAACTGATCTCACGAGCTACCATCGAGACACCACGGCGGGACACCCAGAGCCACTGTCGGGACACCCCGAACCATCGACAGGGTATCCCGCGCCACCGACGGGGCACCCCCGCGCCACCGATGAGGCACCCCAGGCACCGGCGCGCCAGACGGGCGTGGGGGGCGGTCAAACGGCTCCACGGCCCCTAGCCACGGCGGCATCATTCCTCTCGCGCGCCCGCGCAGCTTCGCCTCGCCTGCACGCGCGACACGAAGACGAAATCGAAACTGATTTCCCGATGGGGGGTTCTCCGTTCCACTGCGATCTCGCTGCCCCAGCAGGCCCCCACTGGTGGGGCCAGCCAGGGCAGAAGCACCCAGGGGTGTGCCAGGCAGCGTCAGTGCGCCGTGCTGGTCGCACCATCCCAGGTGCCAGCGGCCCCCGTCGTCCCGGCGGGCTCCAGGTCAGCGCGCTCGCCGCGCGGGAGCTCTCGGCGGCCGCTGCTCTCCCGCCCGCCGCGCCCTCGGTGCAGGCGGCGGGCGGCTCCAAGGCCCGAAGCAGCCCGCGCCCCGCGCCCGCCCCCTGGTGCGGGCGGCGAGCCAAGCGCTTGGCGTCGCTCGGACGTGTGCATTTTTTCTTTTCCCCGACAAGGGCCATCGAGCATTTGAGGCCATCTTGCGAATACGTATATTTTTTGGTTCGCGGCTCCAAGGCGAGGGACATGGAGCGGGTCAACGTCCGGGGCGCGGTACGAAGATGCGAATCAGTATACGCGCGTAGCCGAAAAATGCCCAGGGAATGATAGACTCTGGCACGGGGGAGCCCCGACCCACCCCACCGCGCCCGTGCCCTCTCGCCACCCTCCGCCAGACCCGCGGCCTGAGGAGGGAGGAGGCGCGGGTGCTCAGAGTGTACGCAGATGTTCGTGAATCTCCTGGCCACGTCACCGACGGGACAGCTTCCCGTTGTTTCCTCGCCACGGCCCAGCTGTTAAGAGACTCCAGCGCGGCGGTTATCAGCTCATGACCGCCTTTCTGGGTGATGGCTGCCATCGTTCCAAAAGGGGCATGTCGGGCCGCGTGTGGGCCGTGCTCCTGGGTTTGCGCGCTTCTCCTTGCCAGTCTTGCGCCTCGGAATGCGAGCTGTACTCGATCGCCACGCGCATCTGGCACTCACACACCAGGGCGACGTTCCGACATCGTAGTGCGGGATGCCCGCTGTGTGCACGTAGAGCTCCTGCTGGGCATGCTCCTGCGGCTAGCGAGTCGTTGCTGCTACCGTGGATCGTGCCGCCCCTCAGCTGCCAGCTTGAATTCCAGCCGATGGTGTTGATGAGAGTCTTTGGTGCGTGCCATCTCATCATCGTCTTTTCATTTTGTCCTCTCTCTCTATCTCTCTCTTTTTCTCTCCTTCTGTCTCTCTCTCTCTCTCCCTCCATCTCTCTCTCTCTCTCCCTCCATCTCTCCCTCTCTCTTTCTCTCTTCAAGGCAAATGTACTCTCTGTCTCCCTCTCCTCCGTCCCTTCCCCTTCGTTCCCCGTCTGCCTTCCCCTCCTCTTTCCTTCTGCCCAGGATGCGAAGAGGAAAGAGAGAGCAGGGAAGCGCTCCAGGGCGAGGAAGTGCAGGCGCAGGAGAAGAGTGCGACGAGGAGGACAAGGCGATGGAGGTGATAATGATCACGAGGACGATGAGGATACGGCGATGACGATGATGATGATGCTGATGATGATGATGTTGTTGATGAAGTTGTTGATGATGGTGCTGATGCTGATGCTGCTGATGATGCTGCTGATGATGATGCTGCTGATGATGATGCTGATTACAATGATGCTGATGCTGATTGTGATGATGATGCTGATGGTGATGATGATGATGGTGATGTTGGTGGTGGTGATGACGGTGGTGGTGATGATGATGATGATGATGATGATGTTGTTGATGAAGTTGTTGATGATGGTGCTGATGCTGATGCTGATGATGATGATGCTGCTGATGATGCTGCTGATGATGATGCTGATTACGATGATGCTGATGCTGATTGTGATGATGATGCTGATGGTGATGATGATGATGATGATGGTGATGGTGGTGGTGGTGGTGGTGACGGTGGTGGTGATGATGATGATGATGATGAATACTACCATGATGTTTATTAGCACTACGATTCTGATTGTGGTGGTCATGATTACGACGACGATGGTGACGGTGTTTGTAATCATCATGATGGTCATGTTTTTTGGTGATGGTGACGAGTATGAATATGATAATGATGGCGCCTGGTGATGACGACGACTACGAAGACCATGCTGTTGCAGCTGCTAAAGGATGCTGACTACGAGTACGACAACGACGACGACAACGATGATGATGCTGCTGCTGATAATCATGATGCCGATGATCATCGCACGAGGAACAGGAGCGCCTGAGGGGCTGAATGCGTCGCCGTCGCTGTCGTTGCCGTCATCCGTCTGCTTCCTCATCTTCGTGCTTGTTGTCGTCGTCCGTCCGTCCGTCCGTCCTTCCGTCCGTCGTCGTCATCGTCGCCGTCGCCGTCGCCGCCGTCGCCGTCGCCGCCGCCGCCGCCGCCGCCGTCGTCGCCGCCGCCGCCACCGTTGTCGTCGTCGTTGTCGTCGTCGTCGTCGTCGTCGCCGTCGTTGTCGTAGTCGTCGTCGTCGTCGTCGTCGTCGTCGTCGTCGTCGTCGTCGTCGTCGCCCCGTCGCCTGCGGCCAGCACTCGGGCAGCAGGGGCCGGCCATGGGCGCCGCGGGCGGCCGCGGCCGGCGCTCGCGCGCCCGGCAGGCGCCGCTGCGCCTTCGGGCGCCGCTGTGCTCCGCCGTTGCGGTCGCCCTCGCCGTCGTCGTCGCCGCCGCTGCCGCTGCGGTCGACGCAGCCGCCGTCGCCGCCGCCGCCGTCGCCGCCGCCGCCGCCGTCGCCGTCGCCGCCATCGCTGCCGTGCCTGTTGTCAGCTCTGCTTGTTGGTGTGGGTGGAGGGCCGAGGTGGCGTGGTAGGAGGGGCAGGAGGAGGCTGGGGGAGGAGGAGCATGGAGGAGGAGGAGGAGGAGGTTGAGGGGTGGAGGGAGGGAGGGAGGTTTTTTTTAACTAGCGCACGTGCCCACTGTCCACAGCGGGGATAGAGGCAGGGCCATCGGGGGCGACCCCGTGACCCAGCAGTACGAGCAGTGCTCGACCAAAAGAGAGACTAGCGCAAGCGGTGGGCAGGCACGAGGCCACAGAGCCATTTCCCACAGCTGGGAGGATGCCCCATATCCAAGTGCCTATCCCCCAGCATTAGTCAGACTATCCAGAATCTGAGCTGCAGTCCAATCGACTAGGGATGAGTGGGGCTCGGCTGCCGACGCCACAGGGGATGGCACTGACCCCACTGGGAACAGCACTGGGGACAGAGGCAGACGAGGCAGCACGCACAGGCTCCGTCCGATCTGAAACCTGGGAGCCGCCCACATCGCCGCCGCCGTCGTCATCGCTGGAGGAGGGGACTTTCGGGGCTCAAGCGGCGCCGTTTGCGAGCTCTGCTCGCTGGTGCCGGTGGAGGGCCGAGGTGAAGTAGTAGGAGGGGCAGGAGGGGGCTGGTGGAGGACGGCATGGAGGAGGAGGAGGAGGAGGAGGTGGAGGAGGAGGAGGAGGAGGAGGAGGTGGAGGGATGGATGGAGGGAGGGAGGGAGGGAGGAGGAGGAGAAGGGATGGACGGATGGAGGGATGGGTGGATGGAGGGTGGGAGGGAGGGATGGATGGATGGATGGAGGGAGGGAGTTGGAGAAGGAGGAGGAGGTGGAGGAATGTAGGGAGGGAGGGAGGGAGGGAGGGAGGGAGGGCGGAGGAGGAGGAGGAGGAGGAGGAGTCCTTGCCATTGTATGCCATGCCCTCTCCTTGCCCACAGGGTCGTCCCCAACGGAACATAATGCTGCATCTTCGGTGTCCAGCCGTTTTCGGAGTTCTGTGGAGGTCTCCATATGTTTCCTGAGTTGTTTGGAGATTTCCAGATGATGATGATGATGATGATGATGATGATGATGATGATGATGATGACGACGACGACGACGACGACGATGATGATGATGATGATGATGATGATGATGCAAATGACGATGTTGATGATGCTGATGATGAGGACGATGATGATGCTGATGCTGGTGCTGATGCTGCTGAAGATGAGGATGATGATGAGGATGATGATGATGCTGATGATGATGCAGATGATGATGCTGATGATTATGGATGAGGATGATGAAGATGCTGGTGCTGAAGATTATGCTGTTGCTGATGATGAGGATGATGATGACGATGCTGATGCTGCTGCTGATGCTGCTGCTGCTGATGATGATGATGATGTTGACGACGAAGGTGATTGTGGTGGTGTTGATGATGAATTTGATAACGTGGGCATGATTTCGATGGCGATGATGCTGATGCTGATGCTGATGCTGATGCTGATGATGCTCAGGATGCTGATGATGCTGATGATGATGTTGATGATGGTGGCTGTGATGATACAGGGTGATGCTGAATATGATGAGGATTCGAATGCAACCACTAGTAACTAACAGGTAATAATGGTGATGGTGGTGGTGGTGATGATGATGATGATGATGATGATGATGGTGATTATGCTGATGCTGATGATGAGTAATAATAATATGGTGATAATGATGCTGTTGGTGACGATGTTCTTGATAAGGGGCTTGCAGTTTGATGATGGATGGCGCCGGGTCAGCCCTTGGCTACTCAAGGAGAACCAGGGATCGGGGGCGCTCCTGCTCCTTCTGCTTCTGCTGCCGCTGCTGCTGCCGCTGCTGCTGTTTTGCTTCTACTGCCCGACATCCTCGTGGTCGCCGTCGTCCTCGTCGTCGTCGTCATCTTCGGCGTTGTCGTCGTCGTCGTCGTCGTCGTCGTCGTCGTCGTCTTCGTCGTCGTCTCCGCCGTCGCCACAGCCGCCGCCGTCCGTCCGTCCGTCCGTCGTTCGCCGTCGCTGTCCCCCCTGCTTGCCACGCTCCCCTTCGAAGGGCAGGGCTAGGAGACCGAGAGGGACCGGAAAAGTGATGCATCTCTTAGCCAGCGCGGGTCCCTAAGCAGTGTGCTTCCAGCCATATATGCTGTGTTATCTATGTGGAGCAATGTTTGCTGTGCAATGTATGTGGTTCAATCTGTATTTTGCAGTCTGTGTGGTGCAATCTATGTTGCGCAGCATTGGGGGGTTAATCGAAATGATGCAATTTATGTGGTGCAATTGGCGTTGATTTCCTCTCGCGTAACCACCTCCCATGCTCGCGCAAAGATCCCACTCACCCACCCGCAACTTGGTTTGCAAAACCTATGCGGTGGCGATTGCGATGGCTGCTTGGTGCTGGCTGGTGCGTCGCTACCGCTGCGCCGGCCAACTAGTCTGGCGCGATGCTGCGGCCGCGGTGGGGCTGCCTGCTGGGAGCTTCCCAGCGCGTTTCGCAGGCCGCGCTGACGCGCGGGTGCATCAGTGAGCGTCGGTGATTCGGGCGTGCTTGGTATCAAGGCGACGACGACACCGGCAGACACGATGATGATAGTAACGATGCTGGTGGCGATGTTGACAAGGGCGACGGCAAGGGCAATCCAATGACGGCGCCGATGCTGATCACGCCGCGCCGATGACGATGATGGTGTCTTCTCGTCGGTAATGCAGGTTTTGGAAGGATTTCGGCATGCGCGCGCGGTCGGCGCGCGAGTGGCCTGCATGGTGTGACTTGCCAGGGATCGTGCTCCGCCCCAGCGCGCGCGCAAGGGCGTTCGAATGATTCCGGACTGCGTGCGCGAGAGGCACGTGATGTAACATGCGATGAACATGTTGAAAATTATGACGAGCACGACCTTAATCTTTCTTTGTTGTAAGCCCGTGGGTTTTGAAATCTGTTTTCGGGGCACTCGATTTCGTAATACTTACGAAACCTTTTTGGATTTTTGAAGGATCTCGGCATGCGCGCGCACTTCGTCCTGTTTTTTGTGCAAGAGATCCTTGCGACATTGCGTTCGCACGGGCGTTCGAATGATTCCGGCATGCGCGCGCGCGAGGGGCACGCTTTGTCGCACTAGATGAACATGTTGGTACATGTATGGGTTTCGGAATAATTTGCAAGAGCGCCATCGCGTTTTTTCCTTAAAATAGTTGCCTGTTTGATATGTTTTCGGGACACTCGATTTCGCAATCCCTACGCAACTAAACGTTTGTTTGAACGATCTCGGCATGCGCGCGCGACGACGCGCGCGTGTGCACTTTGTGCCATTTGTCGCACTTTTTTTTGGAAAAGAAATCTTGGAATATGAAGTGCGCGTGCATGGTATTCTTTCCAAAGGATGAGTTTGGGTGGGTTGGTGCCGGTTTGGTTGGGATCATATCACACCATATTTCGAATGACGATGGGGCAAAACCGCACGTAACGGAACATCCTCAAAAAGGGGGAAAAGTCCGGCCGCGGGAGTGCGGTGGATCCAAATTCTTGTCGATCAAAATGTGTATCCATGTGGTGCGCAGCTAGCGCGGTGCAGTCGACGAGTCGTAGTCTTGATGAGAGTGTATGTTGTGCTTTCCATTTGGTGCAAGCAATGTGGTGCGATCTATGTGGTGCAGTTAATATTTGACCGTCTTGAAGCTGTCCTCTCCAGTGCTCGTGCAAACATCCCACCCTCCCACCCGCAACTTGGTCGCAAGACCTCTTGAGACAAGACCGTGACGGTACGTACCACATGACACTTGGCCACGACACCGACGCCGACGACGACTGCGACAACGACGACGACGGCGCCGCCGACACCGACTACGACGACACCGACGACGTCTCCAACGACTTCGACGACGACAACGACGACACCGACGACGTCGACGACGTCAACGACGCCGACGACGACGACGACGGCGACTACGACGACACCGACGACGTCTCCGACGACTTCGACGACGACAACGACGCCGACGCCGACGACGACGACGACGACGTCGCCAACGAAGACGACGACGAGGGAGGAGGAAGGACGACGACGGCGACAACGACGACAACGACGACAACGACAAGGGAGGATGGAGGACGGCGACGACGCGAAAGACGAAGAAGGAGGAAGGACGGCGGCGCCGACGACGACAACGACGAGGGAGGAGGGAAGACGACGACGACAACGGCGACGACGACGACGGCGACGAAATAGGAGGGACGACGACGAGACGCCGACGAGGGACGACGACGACGACGAGGGAGGAGGAGGAAGGACGACCACGGCAACAACGACGACGGAAACGACCACGACGCCAAAGAGGACGACGACGACGAACACGATGAAAGACAGAGGACCACGTAGGCGACGAAGACGACGACGCGGGAGGAGGGAGGACGGCGACGACGACGACGACGACGACGACGCAAGAGTGCGCGCGCACGCTTTTGTTGAAAATCCGTGTTGCGAAACCTTGTGTTTTTGTAGGTTTTTTTGGACACGATTTTGAAATCCTTCCGAAACCGATGGGTTTTGAAGGTGTTCGGCATACGCGCGCGACGACGCGCGCGTCTGCACTTCGTCCCGTTTTTTTGCAGAGGATTCTCGCGACGGCACACGCGCAAGGGCGTTCGACAGATTTCGATATGCGCGCGCGCGAAGCCCGTTTAATAGCATTTTGTGAAAATCTTGAACACCTATGGTTTCCTTAAGATTTTGTAAGAGCTCGCGCGGAAGCTTTTTTAGCAAACCAGTGTTGCGAAACCCTGTGTTTTTGTATGTTTTTTGGAAACTCGATTGCGAACTCATTCCTGCACCGAAGGTTTTTGAAGGATTTCGGCATGCGCGCGCGACGACGCGCGCGCGTGCACTTCGTCCCGTTTTTTTTTGCAAGGGATTCGTAACACAGGTGTTGTGTTAGAGCAAAACATGTCACCGCATAGTGTTTTTTCCCCACATGCTTCGTGGGGTTCTGGTTTTCTTTTCACACGCGCCGCACCCGCGTCTGCCCCCACACCCGCCCTCCTCTCTCTTTCTTCCTCCCCTCACTCACACACACACACACACTTCACTCTTCCCCCCTCGTCACAGCACTGCTCAGCTCAGCCCAACCCACCTCAGCACAGCACAGCACAGCTCAGCTCAACTCAGCCCAGCACAGCTCGGCTCAGCTCAGCACAGCTCAGCACAGCCCAGCGCGGCTCAGCTCAGCACAGCACAGCACAGCTCGTGGTACTTTCTCGACACCACAGGGGGTGCGCAGGGGTTGGTCTCCCAGCTCGGCCGCTATCCACGATACTGGCGCAAAGCCTAGCAGGCGTGGCACTCTCTCGACACCACAGGGGGTGCGCAGGGGGTGGTCTCTCAGCTCGGCCGCTATCCACGACACTGGCGCAAAGCCTCGCAGGCGTGGCACTTTCTCGACACCACAGGGGGTGCGCAGGGAGTGGTCTCTCACCGCGGTCCCTATCCACGACACTGGCGCAAAGCCTAGCAGGCGTGGCACTCTCTCGACACCAAAGGGGGTGGGCAGGGGGTGGTCTCTCAGCTCGGCCGCTATCCACGACACTGGCGCAAAGCCTAGCAGGCGTGGCA